GGCCGATGGGATGAGGCTGAGGAGCTAGAAGTCCAAGTGGTAGAGGCACAGAAGACAGTGCTAGGAGACAAGCATCCTGATACTCTTACCAGCATGGCTAACTTGGCTCACACATTGAAATCCCAAGGAAGGCTTCCGGATGCCTTGGCTATACTTGGGGCATGCTGCAGGCTGTGGACCGAAGCACTTGGGCCGGATCACCCTGATACCAGAAACTCTGTTGACATTCTTGGTCACTGGCAGGGTGACCATAATTTATTCCTGGGTGAACGGCTTCAATTAAAACAGTCAGAGAGTTCACCGGAGATTGTATCGTCAGGGATGGCACCTGCAATAGTCGCTCAGCCTTACCGTTTATGGCACGTTGGACTTGCTCCGAGTCAGGGCCGCTCAGTACCGGGTTTTCTATCTAGCGATCATGCCCTTGTGATTGCGTCCAGAGCACCCTCTCCCTGGGCAAGAGGCCAAGCCATGCACGATGTTGATTGAAGCATTGTTTGCAACGCTCTGTAGGATTTAGCTTTTTCTCTTCTTACGCACGAGTAAATACTATACAGTACACTTCCTTAATACCGTTTCTATTCATCCATTATGGTTCCAGACATAACACCTCTAACGGTTCTATTAAGCTTGTTTACTATAGCTGCGACAACTAGGACCTTCCTAAAGCTACTGTAATAGATAGTTGCTCAGACCAACAAGAGGTCGTTTTGTTTTTTTTCTTTTTTTTCTTTTTTAGTTGTGGTTCATGACTGTTCTCGCCCCTCCAAATCATCACGCTCACTTTTGTGAAGTTTGCCCAGCTCGCAGCGGAAGCATTCTAGAAACTTCCTCTGGCTGGTAACTTTCAATGTGTACGCGTATCTCTAATACCGTTCGTAGGCTATATAGGTAATGCACTCAGCCTAATGACATCTAGCTAACGGAAGCGGCGTTGGAAATGAGTCAAAGAGTGTAGAAACGCGAGAGCGGAACCTACAAAGCGCTGTAGTTATAGCAAACTGTGGCTTTCGATGCGGACGATGCTTAGGTCTTTGATACTCAGGTGACAGATTGTGAGATGGGCCGTCATCTCATCGGGTACTGAGCCAAGCGGGGAAGAGGTCCACGATTAGTTATTTCATTGACTCTTAACTAAGGAAGATCGAATTCCCGGCGCTGAGCTGGATGGGTAAGCTGAGTAATCCGCAGCGGGCTAACTAAGGCCGAGACAAAGACCGATCGATATTCCATCCAAAGTAAAGCGTGCAGGGTTTACACGTGGATTGAGTGTTACCCCTCAGTCTGAATGCTTACTATGGCCGAAAATAGTCAAGCCGGGAGCTTGGGTCGGGAGTTGACCTTCCCTCTCCTCGGCTGAACGGCTTCTCGCCTCGGCTGCGTCGCCAGACGGTATTATATAACGGCCCTGACAACCCCAGGAAAGGCGTGACCGGCAATGTTCGTTGTCTTTCATCTACCGCCGATCCACCGAGTTTGACGCTTGCTGGGCAATCACAATCCACTCAGTTCGAGGTGGTGGCAATCTAGCCTGTTCTAGAGCTTCTTATCTCGGTTAATTTGTTTTCTCCCCGGAAATGGCCCGCTGCGGGTCTTGTCGTCGTTGGTTCTCCCCGTGGGGGAGAGTCCGGGGTTGAAGGTCATGGGGGTCTCTTTATCTTTCCCCCCCCCACCCAAGTTTCCACTCTTCAGTCGTACGTTGCTGGAATCTATCACTCCAATACATGCATCATGCCATCTATGGAACCGTCGACCTCCTCTCCAGAAGACTTTTCTGGTAAAGCTCACTCGGACTACATCGAGACGACCGAGAAAGCTGTCTACATCTCCGACGCCGTTGATGCACTGTCGGAATCGCACAAGACGTACCTCCTCGAACGCCATGGAACCCTGGATCTCGACCCAGTCCCTAGTATGGATCCGGCAGATCCATACAATTGGCCAGCCTTGAAGGTAAATTCTCAGCGCCATGCCTCCCTAGGTCTCAGGATAACAATGGGAAGAAAACCATGAATCTGGTTCTGGTAGCCTTCCACGCCTGCATGGGCACCTTCACAGCGGCCGCCATCATCCCCGCCTACGAATCAATATCCCTCGATCTGGGTGTCACTATTCAGCGTGCCAGCTACCTCACCTCCCTGCAGATTGCCATCCTGGGCGGCGCCCCATTGCTCTGGAAGCCCCTCTCGAACCGCTTTGGCCGCCGTCCGATCTTCCTCCTATCGCTCATCTTGAGCTGCGCCTGTAACATTGGCTGCGCACGCAGTCCCGACTACGCCTCGATGGCGGCCTGCCGTGCGCTCGTCGCCTTCTTCATCTCTCCAGCGATGGCTATCGGCAGCGCAGTTGTCACCGAAATGTTCTTCCGTCACCAACGTGCACGATACATGGGAATTTGGGCTGTCATGGTAACTCTGGGCGTGCCGATCGGCCCTTTCATTTTCGGGTTTGTCACGGAGCGAGTAGGCTATCGCTGGATATTCTGGGTTCTCGCCATCGTAAGTCCCCGCCGATGAAATCCCCTCATTCTCATTGTTCTCGCCTGGATATCCTAACCTTCCCAGACCAACGCGATTGAGTTCATTCTGTACGTCATCTTTGGTCCCGAAACGCGCTATATCGGCACCGACCTACAATCTACCTCCACCTTCAAGCGCGAATACCTTACCCTGTTCCACCGCATCGACCCGACTCCCTTCCGCCTCGCCGAATTCTACCATCCACTCACCCTCTTCACCAACATTCCCGTCCTGATCGCGGCCGTCGCCTACGCAATGATCTTCCTCTTTGGCTCCGTTATGAACTCGGTCGAGGTCCCTCAGCTCCTGCAGGTGAAATTCGGCCTGAGCGCGCAGCAGCTGGGTTTGCAATTTCTGGGCCTCATCATCGGGTCGCTGCTTGGCGAGCAACTCGGCGGCGTCTTGTCGGATACGTGGATGAACGTGCGGGCGCGTCGCAGCGGTCGCAAGCCCGACCCCGAGTACCGGCTGTGGCTCAGCTACGTGGGCTACTTGGTGACGATTGCGGGAATGGTAGTTTTTCTGGTCTGCACCGAACAGGCGACCGAGGGCCGGTGGACGGTAGCGCCTGTCATCGGCACGGCGATCGCGGCCTTCGGTAATCAGGTCGTCACGACGGTCATGATAACTTACGCGGTGGATACATACCCCATTGACGCAGGGAGTGTAGGAGTGTTCATTAACTTCGTGCGGTCGACGTGGGGATTCATTGGGCCATTCTGGTTCACGGACATGTTCGATGACGTGGGCCTCGCGAAGAGTTCAGGAGTGGTCACCGCCATGATCATGGGGGCTAGCTTCATCCCTACGGTGCTGCTGCACTGGAAGGGGCAGAAATGGCACAAGAAGGAGCCGTATCAGTAGATCAAATATATTGACAATTACAATCCTGTCTGACGCTCGTGTTACGGTCAGCTGACCTCGAACGAGCTCATCTGCTGGACTCATACTTCGCCCAGTGTACATAGAAATAGATCAAGGATGTTACTGGTCAGTATTCTCATCAACATACTGTAAAAAGGAAAACTTCATTGGCCGCAATGAGCATAGATTGATTGAAATCCGCGTTCCCCCCCTTGCGTGTTACTCACAAAACATACCCCTCGATTGGATGCCTCAGGTTCTTCCCGGAAACAGTCGCAGTGGCTTTTCACTTTCGGCCATGCCCCACAACTTCGTTCCCCAGGTGCCAAAATGGCAGTCATTAACTTGCGACTGAGAAGGGATTTTAAGCAGAGTCATCAAAGTCTTCAGTGACATTGCAATTTGCGCTCTGGGTAGAAAAAGAGGGTCCGTTACTATTATCTGGAAGGGTCCCTTTCGACTCCCTTTGCATCATCCCACTAGATTAGCAGCTCACCCCCGAGGGAACATTCACACAGGACGAGCTTGTCTTTCCCCCAGTGACCGACGCATCCGACCATGTCCAGTCCGTGCAGCTCCCCGACCAACAGGCAATGTAGATATCATACGCCGTGCTTTTAGCCGTACCCTGGACTTTATCCAGCACGAAGTCCTTGATGGTCACCCCGTTGCTGGGACTCTTCGAAGTATCATCGTAATTCTGCTGCACGATTATTCCATATTTGGTGATTGATGACAGAGTAATGTCCTTGTAGGTGATGTCGCTGACGGCACCGGTGTCGCCATAGATGGTCTTGATGCAGACCCCTGGTAATTTCAGCGTGTGACGAGGGAAGCGAGGAACTGGGAGCAGGAAGACAGGGGGGATAGCAATTTACCATCCTGTGAGGTTTTGATGGTCGAATCATAGAACGTCACGTTCTTGACAGTATTATCACTGCGACCGCCGACAGAGGCGATGGAGAGACCATGGCCTCCGGAGCAAACGCCGCCGGAGAAGTAGATGTTCTAGGAGGCAATTAGCATTCAACAAGCCTTTATATCTGTGGAGAAGAATTGAGAGTCAAATAGTCTGATCCACTGATACTGAATACCTGCACGGGCGAGTTCTCAATTCTTAAACCGCTGATGACTGAATTGGTCATACTGTGCGCAGCGAAGAACTTAGGCTTGGTCTTGCCACCCGAGCCGCCTTCGCTATCCACCACCGGCTGCCTTCACCATTGATTGAGTGCCCGCTCGCACCCGTCACGGTGATGGCCGAGCCCGAGACTGAAATAAGCGGACCGCTCCACTCCCAATAGCCAAAGGTGGTTTCACCTTCGAAGATGACCCGTGGACTGCGTTAGAAGATAATTCTTCTTGTGAAGTGAGGACAGAAGAAGGGGTTGCCGCACGTGGGTTCCGTCATTCAGTTTGGTCAGGTCGAGGGTGGTCCCCAAAGGCACGGCCACGTTGGAAAGGACGATGGTCGAACAGGAGGTCTTGGACTTGCTGGCTAAGGAAGCGTCATTGGACTCGGAGAATGTACATGACGTGGCACGTTTCTGGATCTCTTGCGCAGTTGGAGGAGCCGTGATCGCGGACGGTGCAGGGCTGGCGCCGACGGCGATGGCCCTTAGTGCCAGCGAGACCAAGAGGGCGGGGTTAATATGCATGATGCTCGGGTCCTTGTCTGTACGAGCCAAGATATCACAAGCTTCAATAAGTTATCTTGAGTGTTTTGTTCGATCTCGACTGGGTGTCTGACGTCGTATGTAAATGCGTTCTAGCGTGTAGTGTCCGTCGAGTCGAGCTCGGTTGCGAATAGTATATGGTTGAGGTAGGGTGTTGCAGGTCGCGAGTAACGACCGACACCACCGGGCAGGTGTTGTCGATGCTCGAATACTCCATCAGTACACGCCTCGGCTGTTCGTTTCGTAAATGGTGGGGAAACCGCCAACGAGGGTGAAGCCATCGGGCTTGAAGTGATGAAAGTATTCCTGCGGCGTATCTCCAAGCGGGCCTGAGCTCGGGATGAGTTGCCTGCTGGAGAGGGGATCAATCGTGATACACGGGATGATATTCTGCAGGGGCTGTGGCTTGTTTCGCCGTGTTGCAGGTGCGACGTAGTTAAGCTGCAGGGCTGGAGGACGGGCCGTGTGATAATGGGTGCTTTCACAGCTCGCTTAGGCGGGCCTACAGGGTAAATGTTCTGTCAGGGGAAAGCTGCTGTATAGTTCATGCTACCTGCGTTGCATGCTGGGCAGTAATTGGCGGAATGACTTGCAGGGTGGCGGACATTTCAGGGCTGACGATGTTTATTTTCCTTGGCTTTATCCCCGCGGATACTATTGGCAGAGGGCAGAGAGCAGGATAGGATTGTGAGTGCTTATCCTTCACAAGTTCAGATACAGTTCAGATACAGTTAAAGTTAATGCACAGTTTGTGCATGCATTTACTTTTTGCCTGAAATTACAGGCGGGCAGTAGAAGACAACCTCCGCTAGTAGAAGTAAGCTTTGAAATGACATAAATGATTAGTCACAGTCTATTTATGTTTAACATTAACTTACCCGGAACTTCGGCCTCTCGGAATCCGAGAGCGGGCGAGTTCGTTCGCCCACCCGCTGATAAGGTTGATCTTTGCCCTGTTGGCGATAACTGCCAGTTCCCCTTTCATTCATATATAAATACTCACAATGTCTCACTTTCTTCCAAGATTCCTTTCCCTGGCTAAATCCCTGGCTGAATAACGAATCCAACCCAAAACCGAGAATGGCACCCACAGTACATCCACTGACACCACCCCCTGGCTCAGACATCGACTTTGGTGCCGTCATCGACGATGTCGACCTGGAGAATCTGACTGGTATGAACATTTGTCCACATAGAATTTCCCAGCGCTAGACCTTGCTGACTTCACCTCTAGATGACGACTTCGCTTTCATTCATGACGTTCTCTACAGGCACTTAGTCGTGGTCGTCAAAAACCAGCATCACCTCACTCCGCGAGCACAATACGAACTGACGCGCCGGTTCGATCCCTCGGCTTCGTCGTACGGCCACGGGAAGACGATCGACGCGAAACGCAGCATCCTGCATCCCGACCTCAAGACTGTCCCCCACCAGCCCCAAGTCCAAGTCATCGGTCATGGTTTTGTTGATAACTATGAGGGTCTCGCCAATCTCCAACTCCGACATCCCCATCACCGTACTTTCCACCGAGACCCCATCCCCGACAATGAAGACTACGATTTCACCCGATATTACCGCTGGCACATCGACGCCGCTCTTTACGATCTTCATCCACCACGAGTGACAACCCTGCTTGCAGTTCAAGTTCCGCGCGGCCGGCGCCAAACCCTTCGCTATGATGACGGTTCCAACGAGACCCTCGATGTTCCCCTTGGCACGACAGCCTTCGTCAGCGGCGAGCGCATGTACAGCCAGCTGTCCAAGGAAGACCAGCAGTTTGTCCTCACCAGTCGTGTCGAATATGCTCCTCATCCGTACGACTTCGCTCTGGTCTAGTCAAAGCAGAATCGTTCACTTACTAATAATATATTACGCAGATATATCTGGATGTCTCCCGCTCGAGCCCTCCCCACTGGATTAGGTCTCTACCCTGAAGGCCGCGAATTGCCTGCTTCGAAACTGCCCCCTATCGACGAGTCTAAGATCCAGATTCTTCCCATGGTGTGGAGGAACCCAGTAACCGGCCGCCCAGCCCTCCAAATTCACCCCTCCGCCGTGCGCAAGATTCATCAACAGGATGGTACTGTCATCGACGATCTGAAGCAGGTTCGCGACACGGTATACCGGCTACAACGGCCCGCCATCAGTCCTCCGTACGTATATCCGCATGATTGGGAGGAGGGTGATCTGGTGCTGTTCCATAATCGCGGTGTCCTGCACTCTGTTGTAGGCGCGTTTGGGGAGGGTGAGGTACGGTTGTTCCGACAGTGTAACTTGGCCGCCGGGGATGCGCCGGTCGGAATGGATTAATGGGGCGACCGTTGAATGAGATACAGACATATATAGAGAGTAATGAATGATGACTTTCTGACCTTGGTTGCAAAGGGTTGCCGTAGGCACGAGGTGTTGAGGTTAATCCCATGCTTATATATACTGATATCCGGCAAGAGGTCCAGTAATGGGAAAGTGTTTCGGAGATACAACACTGTAGAATTATGCTCTGACAGGGAAGAGGAGATCATTGGTGATAATGGTATGCCACCTATTCCGAATGGGTTGTACTCGCAATCAAGCCTCGCTATGGTCGACCGCGCGGGGTAAGTTGACAAAATACTAGGTCCTGTTTACCCTCGGTTAACTCCTTCAAATTGAAGGACCGAGTGCAACAGAGGCATGCAACGCGCGAATTATAGGAGTAGTTTTTTGATTATCTTTCTAAGCACCTCTTAATAACTAAGGAACTAAGTAAGTGACTAAGCAAGCAACCAAGCAAGTAAGTGAAACAGTAAGCCCTCTCACCAAGCACCTCTCCCCAAGCAAGCAAGTAAGTAAGCAAATAAGCAAGCGAGCAAGCGAGGCAGTGAGACCTCTTACTAAGTACCTCCCAGCAAGCAAGTAAGTGAGCAAGGCAGCGAGGCCTCCCACCAAGCACCTCCCACCAAGCAAGCAAGCGAGCAAGCAAGGCCCCTTACCAAGCACCTTCCACCAAGCAAGCGAGCGAGCAAGCGAGGCAGTGAGACCTCTCACCAAGCACCTCCCACCAAGCACCTCCCACCAAGCACCTCCCACCAAGCACCTCCCACCAAGCACCTCCCATCAAGCACCTCCCATCAAGCACCTCCCATCAAGCACCTCCCATCAAGCACCTCCCATCAAGCACCTTCCATCAAGCACCCCCCATCAAGCATGTAAGTAAGTAAGCGAGCAAGCAAGACCTATCACCAAGCATCTTCCACCAAGCAAGCGAGCAAGCAAGTAAGCAAGCAAGCAAGCGAGCGAGCGAGCGAGGCAGCAAGGCCTCTCACCAAGCATCTTCCACCAAGCAAGTGAGCGAGCGAGCAAGCGAGCAAGCAAGGCCTCTCACCAAGCATCTTCCACCAAGCAAGCGCGCGAGCGAGTAAGCGAGCAAGCAAGGCCTCTTACCAAGCACCCCTCCTCTGGCCGACGCGGTAAGTAAGGGCAGAATATACAGTCACGTGAGTACTCTTTGCCAAGACTGAGTCTCATCCAATCATTTCCATAAATACCGACCAATCAGAGGCCTATCTGCCGACCAATCAAAACGCAGTTCAGGAGTTCTCCGAGGGACAGGACCTAGCATAGGGCTCCGCGCTTACGCGCGTCGCAATAAAACAAAAAGGTCGTGCCCGGGATCGAACCGGGATTACAGGAATCAGAATCCTGGGTGCTAACCATTACACTACACAACCAGTTATGCAGTCAACTATTTCATATGTGTGACATGTTCCCATATTTGCACCTTCGAGGTATCTGTTACGAAGGACATAACTCGGGATGATTTTCAATTCCAATTCAGTTCAAGTTCCATTAACCTAAATGAGCCCGCCTAAGTGTAGCTAGCTGCGAGCGTGTGAAACCACCGAGTTCTTAAATATATGACTGGTGGCCACGAACGCAGAAAATACCCCAAGCCGGGCGCGATAGCCTTAGCCGGGGTCGTTTTACCTCTTACTCACTTTCTTATATACATAATCACCCCCGTGGCGAGCGGGCTGCTTGGTCAGATTACCCCCTGTATTCTAGGCCAACACCCATGGCCCTTAGGCCGATGTATTTGTCGCTTTCCTGGTCCCTACGCTGATGTGGTGGAATTGACCAAGTAAGCCTGTTTGGATCATGAAATCGGCGATGTAGCGGATCGCCTGCGGGCGGGAGACAAGCGTGTCGTAGTCAGTCAGCTGGCTCAACCGCAGCTTACCCTCGCTCGCGGCGAGGATCCTCGCCTGCATCGCTCCCCTCTCCGTCGTGAACCTGGGACACTCAAGCAGCACGTGCTTTGGTGTCTGCCGCTGCTGGTAATCCCCACACGTACACTTCCCGGTGTCGTGTGCCTTGACTTTCCACAGGAAGTGGGCCAAACCGATCCTCTCGCTACGGAGCTGGATCGCCACCGCCGCTTGGGCTTTCGTAAGCCCTTTGTAGAGGTCTAGATTCCTCTTATGCAGGGCCTTGATCAGCCTGCGTGTCGGAGCCGCCACACGCTCATTCGCCCACTGCTTTTCCCACCTTATTCTGAACTTGGTGCGAGTTGCTCGCTTAGCTGCAGCTGCGAGTCGGATCACCGGGTCCGGCCCCACTGAGCTTAATTCAATATCACTCCCCACTGGGCCCAATTCAACTCTCTGAGCGGCTCGCTTAGCAACCTCGTCGGCTGCCTCGTTCCCCGGTATCCCGATATGTGCCGGCACCCAATGTAGATGAGCCGTAGCCAGTTGGCCAACTGACTTGTAGATATCTCGAAGAATGAACTGGCCTGAGGGGCGGCCTGGATTGGCCACGGCCCGGAGTGCGGCTTGGCTATCTGAGAAGACGTGGATCGCCTGGGGGGACCGTGGTATCTCAGCCTGCAGCGCCAGTTCGATTCCTCGTAATTCCCCTGCGTAGACCGTGGAGTCCTCGTCGGTGCCGAGGTGGCTGCCTCGCTCGTAGCCTCCGCTGCGTAGGCTGACCGCGGCAGCCCCAATACCTCCCTCGAAGCCACTGCCGAGTCAGTTTGGCATACCCTGTCATGCTCGGCCAAGGCTTCCTCCCGGCTCCTGATTGTCACCCGGACACGCGGCTGCCACGGGGGGCATGCAAATGCGACTCTCTCTTCCCACTCTCGGCCCGGGGGCAGGCTGAGCGCTGCTCGTCTCCCCCACCGTAGCGCTTCCAGGGGCGTGGTGCCCCGAGTTGCTTTTGGCTCGTCGACCGAGCTCGGAGCAGGCCTTGGGGGCGAGCGAACTGGGGTCCGGTCTGGATCCTTATCGCGGTTTCCTCAATTGTGCGTTGCATGAGCCATTTGATTGGTATTAGGTGAAGCTCGGCATTGAGTGCCGCAGCTGCGGTGCCCTTAAAGGCGCCGCTGATCAGGATCGCTGCCCGCCTCTGGATTTGAGCAAAGGCGTGTTCGACCCTTGTCCGCTCACTTGCATTCGTGATATTGCCTGCCGGGCAGTACCATGCGGAGATGCCCCAGAAGAGCTGGGGAATTACCACTGCACGGTAGGCCTGCCGCATAAGCTGCAGCGAGGCCCCCCAGGTCGAGCCGGCTAGGCCGCGCAGGGCCTCGA